AGAGAAAGCACAGGTATATTGTGGGAGTTTCTGAATGCAGTTCTGTCCTCCTCCTTAGGGTTGCCAGGAGACTAAACAGGATGGGGGAGTGAAACCTGACAACTCTCATCTTAAGTTGCAAATTGGCCCTAGAGCTCTGGCTATATAGTCTTTGAGGTTGAAATCTCCCTCAGCCTAGGCCTTCAGACTTCCTAGTGATTAGCATCCACCCATAGACCTAAAATCATCTAGCATAGACACACATGTCTGGACAATGCTGTTGGTGGGTTGGCTAAATAATACCCAATTGTTTCAGCTATTGTAATTCTAAGGCTTAGACTGTAAAGTGTTTTAAATATCAAATCTTAAAAATGTATAAATAGTAAAATGTTTTATTCAAAGGAATTGTACATGAACTATGAAGCCAAGAGAAGATATAGAGAAAAAATTAAGCATATATAGCTAAGTGAAAGGAGCCAATTGGAAAAGTCTGGATATTCCATGTTTCCAATTATGATATTTTGGAAAAAGATAAAATTTTAGACTGAAGTGAAGAGATCAGTGGACACCAGGGATTTCTGAGGAGAGACAGATAAATTGACAGAGCATAGATAATATTTAGAGCATTGAAACATTTTGTATGGTATTAAATAGTGGCTACATCTTACTGTACATCTACAAAAGCCATAGAACACATTGGCTCAGTAGTGATCCCTAATGTAAACTCTGCCTGCTGCAGTGATGACAGCTATTGTACACTAAATTCTGTGCATGTCTGTGAATATGCCAGTGTGTGCCCATTAGTCTCCTAAGGTGCAGCATGTGGTGGAGATGCTGTTGGTAGAGGAAGTGTGCACATGTGTGTGTGTGTGGGGGGGGCAGGCGCCATATTGACAGCTCTGCTTTCCTCTCACTGTTGCTGTCAACCCAAAACTGCTTTGCAGATTTAGTCTTTATTAAACACACACACACACAACAACAACAGCAACAAAATCCATGCAGTTCTGAAGAGTTAAATAGAACATGCAGACATGTTTGCAGCAATTAAAATTTTTCCCCCCACTTGAGTCAGAACTCCCTTTAGAATGCTCCTGTGTAGTGGGCGTGTCCTCATCACCCTAAACTAATTCAGTTTTCAGTCTTTCTTTGTCTAGAGCATTGGTCTTCAATCTTCCTAATGCTGTGGTCCTTTAATACGGTTCCTCATGATGTGCAGACCCCCAACCATAAAATGATTTTTGTTGCTTGTTCATAACTGTAATTTTGCTACTGTTACAAATCATAATGTAGATACCTGTGTTTTCTGATGGTCTTAAGTGACCCCCGTGAAAGGGTTGTTCAGCCCCTCAGGTTGAGACCCATTGGTCTTGAGTGGATGACTCTTCATGGCTTACCAAATCTTTCTTAGGATGTTGCTTTTTTGGACATTATCTGATATCTTCTTATGATCAGATTTGGGTCATATGTTTTTGGCCCCAATAAATATGTAAATAAATAAAAGAAATTTTCTTTGCCTTTGTCAGTACATTGTTTCTCAGACACAGGGTGTTGATATGTTCAGTTTTTAGTTACCCTGGGATTGATTACCTCATAAAGATAGTATGTTTCTCTGCTATCAAAGTTACTGTTTTCCTGACATAATTAAGAAGTTTCTGTGGACTACTTTACCACTGTAAATATCTTGTTTCTCATATTTTCTCCCACCAACTCTAGAATCCGCTGGTCATCTTCTGAATTACTGTGGTTTTAGCTAACTTTTTTCTTCTAAATGTATTCATTAGAATTTTACTCTCTGTATATATTTATTCAATATTTTATTGAATTTATTATTATTCAATAAAATATTCAATATTTTATTATCGTCATGGCTTTCTGGATATTGGTTTCTGCATCTGTGGTAAAATCCATGTTCAACTTACTTATGTATTGTTCCATTGGATTCGAATTTGGCCAGAGAGACCCTGTGGTAGTCTCCTGTTTGCTGGACTCTTGTTACTCTGTGTTCAGCAGGGTATCTCTGATTCACCTTTTAGAATCCGTTATTTCTCTAAGGACTTTTCCTTTATGAGAGGATGGTATTTAGAAACCCAGACTGAGTATGCTTACTGTTATAGTCAATGCATTAGACATTAGACACAGCCAGGCAATCTATATACATCTGATTCTATATTGTTGTGTATCTGTACAGGTGTTGAATTTGTGGATGCCTTCAGTCCCAAGTCAACACCAAATGGCTTTCTGGCCTTCTCCATTGTCCTTCCTAGTGACTTTTAGGATTTTTTTTTTTAAACCCATAATGCGTTTAATACACAACAAGCCATAGAAGGAACTTAAAGTGGCTTCAGAATTGTCACCATATACCCTTGTTGAGAAAATTACCGACTTGTGTACCATGTTTGTTCCTATAATTACATTTTTAACCATATAAAGCGACTTAATACACTGTTCTTTTAAAGTTACTGCAGCCAGGGCTCTCCTCTCCTTTCTGTGACTGTGCTATTTAAATGAAAGCACACCTCTGTTGGGTTTCTTTTTCATTGTTGAGTGTATTAAATGTTAACTTAATTCTCAAATCTAGAACTACAGAAAAAGTTTTACTTAGAGAATCATCACTGTTTGTGCCCTGCCTATCGTCACAATCCATTCCCCACTCACCTGTTAATCCTTTGTTTCTGCCCACCTCCCTGTAGCCCATCCATTATTCAGTGTCTTGTATATCCTTCAGTTATTCTTTTGTAGGTACACGAGGGCTGTGTGTCCTTGAGTTCACCCTGCATCTTACGGGAAAGACTGAATTTGCTCCTTTGTACTTGGCCTTTTTTGTACTTTTTTGCATGTTAGAAATCTTTTCTAGCAGTTAGGAAGATTAGTTAACAACTTCACTCAGCGTAGAATCACCTGGGAAGAGCATCTCAGTGAGTGAGGGATTTTTCAGGATTAAGTTGGCCTGTGAAGATGTCTGTAGAGCATCCTCTTGTTTGTGTTAATTAATGTAAGAGGACCCAGAGTGGGCAGCATCATTCCTTAGGCTTGAGTCCTGAACTGTATTAATTGTACACAAGGTGGGTTATTTTCAAAACTCATGGGTCTCACTTAAGGTCCAGGGCAGTGAGATCTTCTGAAAAGACTTTATGAGCATTTACAGAAGACCTCAGTATGGGACTTTCTTGGGTTTTGATCACAGCTAGAGCTCCCCTTTTGTCTGGGAGGTGTGGCACCTGACTGGAGATTTCCCCAGGTTCTGCTTTACATATGTTTAGTCTTTGGGGGTGGGGTGGTGGGATGGAAGAGTGAGTCTGTGATGTTCAGCAGACATTCTTGCTTGGTCAGCTACTGGGCTTGCTAGGTGTGCTAAGTTGTCACACACTCAGCTTTGCCCTTAGTGTGCTGGGAAGGCAGGCATTCTTAGAGAATTTTTGCGTGATGTTTTGCTGGTTTCATGCTATTTTATAGGTTTTCTTAGTAATTCCTAAGCACTTTGTTACTTTCTTTGTGCCTTTAGCAGTTTCTTTTTTGTGTGTGTGTGTGTAAAGATTGTTCTAATCATCCAATATAACATTACTAGAACTGACAACCTTTTAGTAAAATATTGTCTCCCATGGACTCAGGTGTAAACAATGATGGACATTTGCTCATTTCTTTCTCTCTCTCTCTTCTCTCTTTCCTCTCTCTCTTCTCTCTCTCATCTCTTCTCTCTCTCTCTTCTCTCTCTTTTGTTTTGAGACAGAGTAACCCTGGCTGTCCTGGAACTTGCTCTGGAGACCAGGCTGGCCTTGAACTCACAGAGATCTATCTGCCCCTGCCTCCCTAGTGCTGGGATTAAAGGCTTGCACCACCACCACCACCACCTGACTTCTCTTTCTTAACTCATTTTCCTCATAGGTAAAGTTGGTCTGCTATGTCACCACAGTTGGATATAGTTGGGGTGTGTGTGGGTGATTGGGTGGGTGGGAGAGGTATGCCCGTGTCTGTACATGTGTGTGTACACACAGGCCAGGAGTGGATACCTAGTGACTTCCTCTATTACTCCCCACTTTAGCTTTTGAGACACGGTCTTTTACTGAATTTGAAGCTCACTGCCTTGAATAACCTGATTGCCCAGTGAGCTCCAGAGGGCTTCCTGTTTCTGCCTCCCCAGCACTGGGATCAGTGGTGTATGTCACTGTGCCTGGCTTTTCATGTGGTTGCTAGGGATTGAATCTAGGTTCTCATGGTTATGTGGCAAGCACTTACTTACTGAGGCATCTCATCAGCCCCAGATACTCTATTTTATTGGAAAAGAAGCATATAATTAATGACAGCTGTGGTTAATGATGATACTAAGGAAAATTTGTTTATTTGTTTTATCATACCATGTACCCTGTATTTTCATACATTACTTACCATATAAGTCTGTGAATTCATCATGATCCCATTTTATGTATCATGAGTCGAGGCTTAGCTATCATTTAATTTGCCCCGTTCTGTGTATAGTAAGTGGCAGAAACACATGAGAAGCCGTGAAATAGGTTTTAGAAATAGAGTATTAAAACTCCAGCAGGCTTCCTGTCTTCATAGACATTCTAGCATTTAATTCTTAAACTGTTCTTTCCTACTTAGTCTTTGATCACATTGGGACAATCCTGTGGGATACTTAGGGATACTATTTTAGAATCTAAAGCTTGGTATTTCCATTAAAATTGAGGATAATGTCTCTTGTAAGGAAATGACTGTAAATTCAGGCAAGTGTAAAATAGATCTGCAAGGATCTGAGCAGTGTCTTTAATTCCCCAGAGACCTTCTGCACTGGGTAGGCAGCACAGAGCTTGGCTAGTTAGGACAAAGCACTGTTAATTTCAATGTGCATATTAATTATAAAATTTAATTATTCTAAAATTTTAATTTAATATTTTTGCTAAGATATAATTTTTATCCCCAGAATTTCTATGCTGTTTGAAAGAGATGGAAGAGAACCTTTCTTTTTTCTTTTCTTCTTCTTTTTTTTTCTTTTTACACATTTCATTATTCCTTTTGGTTTACAGTTATTTGCTGGTGTGAAAGATGGAGAGAGCTTGAAGCTCTTTGAAGAAAGTTCTCGCTCTGTTCACAAGCAAGAGACTCACACCATGGAGGCTGTGAAGCTTGTGGAGTTTGACCTTAAGCAAGTACTGACGAGGCTTATGACACATCTTTTTGGAGATGGTAGGTAACTCAGATATCTTTGTGTTGTAAGGCTTAATCATTCAAAAGTTATTAACAATGTGCAGCAGATCCTTGAGCCTGGTTGTATTAGGTTTTTTGGTTGTTGATTTGGTTCTGTCTAAGTTAAAGGTGGATGGGAAGGAGCCTGTGGACTTCTTGGTTCTTTCTACTTGAAATATTGAAGGTTAGATTGGAATTAGCTAAGAAGAAACAGTGTTGGTGGACTAGTTTGTCACCAGTGGAAAGAGTCTGGTTAACTTGGTTCTGTATTAGTACATCACATGGAGAAGATTATTCCCAATGTGCAGTATCCCATGGCACAATCCTACATTTGATGTACTGACTACTACTGTCAATAGCAGAGGTATTAATTTGAGTTTCTATAGGAAAAATAATGTTGTTCAGATTTTGGCTCTCACTTTATATACTTGTTTCAAATCTTCCTCCAAGGGGGAAAGTATTGTTGATTCTTCCTGCAGTGGGAGCTACAGTCCCCATCCCCAGCTGGATCCCAGAGCTCACTGATCTGGATCCCAGAGCTTATTGATCTTGGCTGACCTCTATGCTTTCATTCCTCCAGACTCCCCTATTTATGCATGAACTCAAGTGTATGTTTAAAATGACTCCTGTTGTAATTTAGTAAGGCTTTGCTGCTCTGTTTTAACAAGGTTGGTAGGAATATCTTTATTTCCATATCATCAGATGCATAATTCATGTAACATTTAAGAAGCCACTAACTAGCCCTCTACATTCTTTATATGGCATACATTATTTAAATTTGCACATTGGTGTCAGACTTATACTTTTTTAGGCAGTAAAGAATAGTAATGGGATGGTGTGGGAAACTGCCTTCATCTGTGTTCAAGATATTTTATTTTGTAAAAGTATGAAGTAAAATATGACAAAATGTTATGATTTGATAAAATAGAATAATGGGTTCATGGATGGTTGCTATTTTCTATTCCTCTCTCCAGACTTGAAGCATTTCATGTTAAATGGTATAATGTGAAACAGATTTCTGTTCAAGACTGTTGATGTGAAAATCCCATTATAGCTAGCCCCTGTTTACTTCTACAATAAAGGAATTGTGGTATTTTTAGCAGTAGTATAATCTACTTAACACTGAAATGTAGGGAGATAGATTATATTGTTCAGACACTTAAGAGGCAGGGAAGAGAAGAATGGATCCCAGTGTTAAGGAGAAATGTTCTGCCTCACAGCTTCACACAGCATGCCAGGATTTCATCTGCATTTATTCATTTGTCAAATTATGTACAAAAAATTTTTATGGCCCTCCTTATCATGCTTTTTTTTTTTTTACACATTTCTGTAAGCAAATAATTGCAATTGCTGTTTGTGAGATTTTATGGACTTGACTTCTATTAGGTTGTAGACATAACAGTGTGGACTAATCTAGACATAATTCTTGTCTTCAAGGAGCCACACAACTTTATCCTCTACCTAGGCAACTTTGTCTATGAGTACTCAGAAGAGGTGTCTCATCCAGGATGGAGCCTCTCCTCAGGAGGGCACCTGGTGGAGGATAGCTAACAGAGGATGAGGGAGAATTAGCAGGGAAGGCTCCAGACTACCAAACAACAGGGAGAAAGGGGAACACATGATAACTTAAGTCTGTAGACATAGATGCTTAATACTGAAAATAGTGACTGGGGCTACAACACAGGGACAGGAAGGAAGCAAAGACGAGGAAGGAATGTAGCTGGCAATAAATCCCATGCCTGCTAAGGATTCCTTCCTTCCTTCCTTCCTTCCTTCCTTCCTTCCTTCCTTCCTTTTTTATTTAAATTAGAAGCAAGCCTGCTTCACATGTCTATCCCAGCTCCCTCCCCCTCCCCCCCTCCTTCTCCCTCTCCCTCTGCTACCCAGGGAGGGTGAGGCCCTCCTTGGGGGATCCCCAACGTTAGTCTTATCATCCAGGGCAGGGCCTAGGCCCTCCTCCATGTGTCCAGGCTGAGTGAGCATCCCTCCATGTGGACTGGCCTCCCAAAGTCCATTCATATACCAGGGATAAATACTGATCTACTACCAGATGTCCAATATATTGCCGAGGCCTCCTCACTGACCCCCATGGTCAAGGGGGTCTGAATCAGTCCCTTGCTGGCCTCCCAGTCATTAGTCTGGGGTCCATGAGTTCCCCCTTGTTCAGGTCAGCTGTTTCTGTTGCTTTCACCAGCCCGGTCTTGACCCCTTTACTCTTCACTCCTCCCTCTTTGCGACTGCTTTCCAGGAGTTCAGTTCAGTGTTTAGCTGTGGGTGTCTGCCTGTGCTTACATTAGCCACTGGATGAAGACTCTAGGGTGGCATGTAAGGTAGTCATTAATCTCATTATTGGAGAACAGCGTTTAAGGAAGCCTCTCCACTATTGCTTAGATTGTCAGTTGGTGTCATCCTTTTTGATCTCTGGAATTCTCCCTGGTGCCAGATCTCTCCTCAAATGTATAATGGCTCCCTATATTGTGGTATTTCTCATCCTGAGGCTGGGAAACAGGGAATACCCTAAGAGAGACATGCATGGTACCCTGGAGAAGAGGAAGGGGACAGGATCTCCTGAGCCTGTTGGGAACACGGGGGGGGGGGGGGGGTGGGGGGGGGGGGGGGGGGGGGGGGGGGGATCTGGGAGAAAGAGAAGGGGAGAGGAGGAAATAGCAGGAGCCTGCTAAGGATTTCTATGGAGCTCTTTTCTCTACCTTTTTAACTCTGATTTATTTATCAGTTTCTTTGATATCTTAGGCTTCAGTTATCTAACCTTTAGTTTGAAATAATACTTGTTTCATGAATAAAATGAAATATAACATGCAAAATATACCAAAAAAGTTGAAAATATAAATTTAGTGTAAATATGAAAACACTAAGGAAGAGATGTGAAATTAAGGCATTAAATACAAAGCAGCTGTGAGGATGGAAGACTTTAATCAGAGTGACAGGTTTATTTTGTCTTGGTGGTAGCTAATGGAATGAGATGCTCCTTCCCCTGTGTGGCCTGCCCATCACATTGGTGCTCAGCATAGCTTTGCATATCTGCAACAATTGGCATGTACATTTGTAAGATATCTTTGCTCTCCACTGGTGACTCAGTATATAAATATACCTAGGGTTCCCCCTAACAACCTGAGCTTCATCCCCAGGGCTCACATGGTGGAAGGATAGAGCTGCCTCTCAAAAGTCGTCTTCTCATTTTCCTGTCATATTATGCAGGTGCCTGCTGTCAAGTGATTGAATGAATGAGTGAATGAATGAATGAATGAATGAATGAATATCTTCTCTAGACTCCACAGAAACCAAGGATGTATATTTCTGGCAATCTGGTCTTGAACTTGTCTTTGTATTAGTATTTTAGTATTTGTATTTGCATGCCTTTCAAAACCACACATTGAGGAAAATTTCATTATTCAAGACTTCTTCTGTAACATATTTGTTTGTTTGACTGTGATACCTGTCTTGATATGGGGCAGAATCTCATGTCTAAGTATAGGAATTTTGAATTTTGAAACAGCAGTAAGACAGTGTCTTATTATCAGATATGTTTGTTTGTTGATTTTTAAAGTCTTGTGTACTTCAACTTTTTCAATTCATATTTTATAACAGATCAGTATTGCTGTTTTTTGTTATTTCATTTATTTATTTATTTATTTATTTATTTATTTATTTATTTATTATAGAATCTCACCATTTATTTCTGTTTGGCCTGAAACTCACTCTGTAGACCAGTCTAGCTCTAACTTATAGCTCCACCTGCCTCTGCCTTCTGAGTCCTGAGATTAAAGATGTGAACCACCATGCCTGACCAGTATTTCTGGTTTTATACATCTTCAGATTCATTTTTTTTTGTACTTTCTGCTTCACAAAGGTATAGAATAGAACTAAAATAAAAAAAAATAATTTGTCTTCTTGGAGAATAATGTTTATGTAAACTGAAGTCTGAAAGGAACCTGGAGAGTGTCTTAATACACTTCCATCATTACCATCAAGCTCAGAGTCATGGAGCTCAGAGGACAGTGTGACCACAGAAGCCACAAAGAGGATGGCTGCAGTCCCACCTGACACTGAATACTGCAGAAGGAATTGTTCTTTCTTGCTGCTACGTTTAGCCGAAGATTTGAACTCCTGAACCTAGTATAGAGGTTAGATGTTTTGAAAGGATAAAAATAAACCATTTCAATAACCCATGTGGTGCAGGCCAGTAAGTAATTCCTGAATTTGGGTAGCTGAGGATCAAAGTTACCTAGGGCCACATAGGTAAGAACCTTCCAGGAAAGATTTAAAGGAGGGGCATGTGAGTAAATGAGAGATATTAGTCATTTTAATATTATTTTTGAGATTGAAACAATGAAATATATGATGTAAAAAAATAGACAATCTAGCTAAAGTGGGCCTTTCACTCCTGTCTGCCCTCTGGCTTTTTCTCTCTCTCTTGTACTGGTCCAGCATGTCACATAGCCTCTATTTGCTACATTTTCAATTACATTTTGTGTGCCAAAGGACACGTAAAAGCCTAAACTTTTTTTCTATATTTAATTAATGGCCACAGTTTGTCAGCCTCAGACACACTCCTCAAGATTCTTTTTATATTTGTTTATATAGCTGATGCTTCTCACTTATTATTATTGAATTCCTTTGTACTTGAAAACAGAATTAAAAATTAGAACACGTCCTGTCCTTGTGACAGTTTGTTATTATTATTGCAGCTTTAGCTTCAGCTTTTCTCCATCTCCAAATGTGGCTTATTATTTTCCATGAACATTTTAATTGTACCAGCATCCTAAGGCCTTTATAAGAGAGGTTATCATGTTAGAATTTGAAAAACAAAATAATGCTTTAGACTGTTTTTATGCTCATGGAATTCATTATTGTTTTCCACATCTCTATTGCTTTCTGTATATTTCGTACCCTGCTTAGTAATCATTTCTTTTATATCATCTAAGACAGGGTTTTAGGATCCCTAGAAGTTTAATTTCTTTTTGTATCCTTTGGTGTTTACA